GCATTTCATATTTTGAGGAATTGCCAAACTGCTTTCCAGCAGGCCACCCCATTTCACACGCCCTCCTGCAACAAAGAGCGGGGTTTGGAAACATTGCTGACGAGAGGGGAAGTCCGAGCACCTGTCTAAGTCAGCAGCTGGACAGCTCGCCGTGCTCCCGAGGACCCTGGGCCACGAGGACTTCCCCTGCTCTGCCCTCTGTGCCCGTGGTGACCAGCAGTGAGGAAGCCCCGTTTCCAAGGCGGCTGCATGGCTGTGAGCTTCCCACCCTCACACCACCACCCGGAGCTCCCCCTGCCCTCTCTGATCTGGTCAAGAAAGAAGCCTCTCGCTTCACACCCGACACAGAAACCAAGTGCACGTGGCTCAAAGACCCAAATGTCAGAGCAGACCGCCACAGGCTCTGCGGGAGACACCGGAGTCCGTCTCCGGACAGGGTCCACCCCGGGCTCCTTCCAGCGTTCGCGCACAAGTTCACAGAGCACGTCGGTGTCCAGTTCCAAGGCACACTCCTCTCGTTCCTGCCATCGATGGCAGTCCCCGAGATGTGATGGCACCCCCACTTCCTTCCTGCGCCCCCCATTTCAGTCCATCCTTCTTTCCTAACCGGCTCTGCCTCCTGAACGTCACCCCAGCCCAGCGCTGCCCTGACGGCCACGTCAGGTTGATTGTTCTTCTTTAGAACAGTTTTATTGGCAATCCACACATCCCACAAATTCAGCAGTTCAGCCCTATCAAGAAGAGTTGTCCAATCATGACCACAGTTAATTTCAGAGCTGTCTCTTTTCCCCTCCCCACGATTAAATTGTCTTTGGTCGATTCTTCTAAGCAGTGGTTCTCAACCTTCCTAATGCTGTGATCTTTTAACACAGTTCCTCATGTTGTGGTGACCCCCTAACCATAACATTATTTTCGTTGCTACTTCATCACTGTAGTTTTGCTACTGTTATGAATTGGGTGACCCCTGTGAAAGGGTCGTTTGACCCCCTAAAGGGGTTGTGACCCACAGGTTGAGAACCGCTGTTCTAAGGGGTGCTCTCCACCTACTGTTGCTGTTGCCTGATCGGCCACTGCCATCCAGCCCATGCTGACTCACAGCGACCCTGTAGGATGGGGAGGAACCGCCCTGTGGGGTTCCGAGACCGTAGCTCTTCACGGGGGCAGAAAGCCTCATCTTTCCCCCACTTAGCAGCTCGTGGCTTTGAACTGCGGACCCGGCAGTTAACAGCCCAAAGCGTAACCGCCGCTCTGAGTTCCGTTTCCAGGCTCGAAGGCTGATGAGGGACCACAGTCTTTGAGGGGTTCCACCCGTCTCTGTTAGACGTGAGTGATTTTCAGTTTCTAGTGTTGGTCCACAGTTTTCTTTTCCCCGTGTGTATGGTCTTCCTCTTCGGCCTCTGCTGCAGAAGGAGAGAGATCGTGGCGCACCTCCCATGGGTTGGTGCACCCTGTGGTTACTCCCCGGGGGGTAGGGAGATGTGGACTGTCTTTGTGGACCTGGGTGTCCACTGACACTCTGGTCCTGGGCCTCGAGGCTCTCTGACTTCTTCCGATAAAGTGCTGGTCAAGCTAAGAAGTTCCCCTACATGTTCTGTTATGTTCATGTGCATGTTTGCAACACGTATGTAGGTAGCACTGTTCTCTGTCAGATCCGGATCTACTAGTGGCCTTCCACCCCGTCTCAGCCTGAGCATCTGTCTGTGCATATCATGTGTCGATGCCCGTTCTGGCTGTGGCTGCAGCCTTGTGCACGCCATAGCACTCGCCTTTATTTAACCTCTTGCACATCTCCGGGTGTCAGTCATTTTGCGCCGACGTCCCCTGACTGCCTTCCCCTTTACTCGGTGAGTACGTATCTACCCTCTCTTTTGTAGTTGGTCATCTGCCTTCCCTTCCCTTCCTGTCTTGGAAGAAGTGGAAGCGGGCATGGTGAGCCTCGATCTCGTGTACTGTGGACGTGCCATCCGGAAGTCCCGGCCTCTGGAGAAGGGAAGGGCATGGTACTTGCTCCAGTCGAGAGAGGGGCAGCGGAAAAGAGCAAGCCCCTCAAGGAGCTGGAAGGACCTGTGG